AGCAGTCACCGGCCACATCGACCTGATCAGTGTTTGATTGTTGTTTCTTGTTGCTTTTCTTCTTTTGTCTCTCCTCTATCCACTCACCCCAACCGGTCGAGGCAGAAGGCCGCCCACCAAGAGCCGGGGTCTGTCAGAGGTTTCTTTCGTTAAAGGGAGTTTTTCCTCCCCACTGTCGCCAAGTGCTGCTCAAGGGGGATTTGTTGGGTTTTCCCTATGTAATAATATTGATAACAGTAAGGTCTAGACCTTACTTTGTAAAGTGTCCTGAGATGACTTTTGTTGTGATTTGGCGCTATACAAATAAAATTTGATTTGATTTGATTTATAACAGACAGAGCAAAAAAAATGTCTGGATTTGAGTGCTAGACAAACCAAGTAACTGGCTTGGCCTTCTGAAATTCCAGCTTGCATACTTGTCTCACGCACACGTCCACCCACCTGCTCAGCCTCTGTTGAACCTCTATGATGTCGCCCACACAGGCTTGCCTTTTCAGTGAATGGGTTATATTGTGGTCAGTGGAATGAGTGTTTACAACTTGTTAAATTTTCTTTTTTTTAAATGATACCTCAAATATGTAGAGGTCTGTGACATCAAAACCTCATTTTAGAACTTGCTGCGTATCATTTTTTTTTTGCAGTTTTACATAGATATGTGAAGTTTATTTAAAGGTTCCCTCTGGGGTTTTGACCTTTAGTGGAGATATGGAGCTATTTTTCTAAGTGTAGGTCCCTGTTTTAGGTCACCTCGTGCAAGAGGGTGACTGTAGAATAATACTTCTCTCAAAATACATGTGAATTTCACTGCAGACCTATGCAGAGATGGGTGTTATGGGTAACCATAACCAAGGAGCCAAAGTGCACATCTTCCAAATCAGAACAACATATGATGTGGACCTACACAAGAGACAAGTGATTAGTAAATTCATTTGAACCTTTTTAGGAGTATGACCCCCCCCCTGTTAGGATGAAATAATGTCAGAACCCCCAACCAGAACATCAAAGTTTAGGACTGCATAATATCACAGTTGGCAATTTAAATGTTTAATTTAACAAGGGTGCAGCTCTTACTTTAAACTGGCTACTGTCTGACATCATCCTCTTGTCTCTGCTGGAAACTGCTCGGTCTCAGCCTCCAAGCCCATAAGAATTCAACTGTTTTTCATACACAGAGCTCATCAGACTCCACCATTAGCTACATAAAAATTGCATTTGTTTTGTCCTTGTTCACAAAAATTCACTACAGTCAGCAAGCAATGTACAGTCATGTGATCTGATCTTCCCGAAGGTCAAAAAAGATCAACAAACAGTATTTCTAAGTTGATAAAACAAACAGTCATGATCTTTCATATCTTTATTGAACACACCCTTTACACATACAAAGTGATGGTGGAAAAAGTAATGGCAACAGTGTTTTAGTAACAGTTTGAACTACCTTTGGCAGCAATAACCTCAAGTAAGCGCTTCTTGTAGCTGTGGATTAGACCTTTGAACGGGACTGCACGTTTTACATTTTGACCATGGGGAGAGTGAAGACGTCTCGTCTCTAAGTTTGTTGTGTTCTGCTTGTTTGATTAATTACTTTCTCCATCGCTGTTGGATTTTTTTCACATATCAAGCATCGACACTTTTGTAAAATGCAACCTCGTGTGAGAAGGGGTGGGAGGGGAGCCCATAGACACACACACACACACACACACACACACAGTTCACAGTTGGCTTTACTTTTGTCATCTTCATTTGTCTTAAATTATCCTTGCACCACTAAAATTTCTTCTCAACCACCCAATGACCTGCTAAATCTGTGTGAAATTAATGTAATGTTGCTTAACTTCTATCAGTGTGTAGTATTCATCAGCTTTTATGAGTACAAGTACTAGAGGAGGTATCAGTATTGGTGCATCCCTACTTTATACCAACATATAGCCTCACTGAGATGAATGAGGACTATCTTTTTCACACACTGCTATTTGTCTCACTACAGTGTAACAGCACCCCATTATTTGTCTACATATGGAAAGTGTCAAAGGATGTAGGGCAGCATATCTGTCCTCCAAAAAACCCACTGCACATCACTGCCCCTACAAGTGTTTCAAATGAAGGCGTCTTATCCTCTGCAGTCTATTGCTTTAAATACACCTGTCTTTGCCAGAGACCTGTGATCAGCAGAGTCCCCGACTGATGTGATGCTCTTCTGCTTACATGAGTAGAAATTCTCCTTGAGGATGGACTTTAATTGAGTGGGGTTCCTCCAGAGCAGCTGCACCACTGGAGCATGTTCCTGCTCAGAGTACTGGCCTTTACAGTCGGGCTCTGGCAGCGTTCTGCTCGTGCCTCAGAGCCCAGTCTGATCAGGGATGGATGGGTATAGAAAACATTATCTTCTCATCTTATGTGTTCTTACAGACTTTGTCTACATTGAGTAGAATACTTGCGTGGGGTAGATTCAGTAATTGGCAGTGTGGACATGCAAGAAAAAATGCTGGCTACTGTCATAATTTAGCCCAGCAGTGTGGAGAGAACAAGTCCCCAGCTCCTCACAAGCACTCTATTAGAGACAAATTAAAGAAGCTTCTTGCCATCTTTTTCCATTCCTCCTCCTTCACCTGTCCCTCTTCACATCGCCATCAACTGAGCCGCTACACTTTGGTTTTCCCTCCTTGCACCATGTCATTGTCTGACGCAGTTATTCATTCTCACTTTATTGCTTGCCCTCAGTATGAAATCCTCAATCTTTGCTCTTTTAGTTTTTTCCACTTGTGATTCTTCTTTTTTTTTTCCCCCTCCTCACGCTCACTGATTTAGTCTGTGTGGTCAGGTTTCAGACCCAGTCTCAATAGCTGCTTGACATTTTAGAATGAATGGCAAGTGCATATTCTGATGCTAAAGTGCTTTTTATAAGCTGTGTTGCTATAAAGATGCATAGATCAGTGGTTTCTAGCTCCTATGCCATGGATCAGTGTAGGGCCACAAAACATTTATGATTCAGAAAAACTGTATAATTCATTTCCTTTATAGCTGTTTTAGTTATTATTTGGAACTTGTTGTGGTCTGATCTCTGTTTGGCTCTTCAATCTGCATGTGCTCTCATCCTATTTCAGACAGAAACAAAAACATTTATAGTTTGTGAGAGAAGTCAATTATTTGAAAATTGCTGGCAGTGCAAAAAACAGTGGGACCCCCTGCAACTGGCAACCCAAATATTAAGTGTTCCAGTGTGCCCCATTAATGATGAGTTTAAAAATTAAAATGGACACCCAGTCATAATTCACTCTCTCACTCACACTTTCTCTCTCTGCAGGTGCTCTTACAGTTGGTCTAGTCCGGCAATGTCAGACCATCCACGGACGAGACCGGACCTGTATCCCGCCCCGGCTGCCCCCAGAGTGGGTAACCACGCTTTTCTTCATCATCATGGGCATCATCTCACTCACAGTCACCTGTGGACTACTGGTGGCATCACACTGGCGCCGGGAAGCCACCAAATATGCCCGCTGGATTGCCTTCACTGGCAGTAAGTGAATGAGACAGTGACATTCACAATGGATGAAAGAGTTTTGCTCTGTTGGACTTGACATCAGCAAATTTCCCCCGGAGCTTTGATCTTTGTTCACTGTCTCACTATAGCTGTCATGTCATAACCTTTAGAAAAGCACTGCTGCATTAGTATATTCAGACAAATGGCCTCTTTGTGGAGAAAAGATGAGGTTGTATTGGTATGAAAAACTGGATTTAGCCCAGCTATGTGCTGTTAATATACATGAGTAGAAGATGTGTGTGTGTGTGTGTGTGTGTTTGTTATTTTGCGAGTTATGTGAGGACCTGTGTGTGGGTGTGAGTTTTGTTGCATTTGCACATTTATAAGTGGTTTTTATATTTTATTTTATGTTTTTGCATGCTTGATGACTCCTCTTGCTCCCTGAAGCTGATTTATTGAATAACGCAGCTCATCTGGTAACCGAGTGGGTGGCTTATGTGCCACAGCATTTCTCTAGTGTTTTCTCCACCTCTTTGCCTTTAACATCGGCGCTCTTTTTCTCCCAAACACAATTCCTGTATAGATGCAATTCCAGTGCTCTATAATAACTCAGCATCCATCTCATTCACTGTGGCTGGGCACGTTTCATAAGGCTGTGTTTGATTGGTCGGTTAGTGAAGACGGCCTCAATCACACCCGTATAGATGGAGAGGTGGCATATGAAGCCACAGTGTATTATTGTTTGAAAAGCTGGGTGCATTTTCCATGACACTCTGAGAGGAAAAGTAGCACACAGTGTTTTTATTTCTTTGCCTGTCAGGCCAAATACACAGTCGGTTTCGTAACTCTCCTTAATTCCTTGCAAGTACCTGATAAATCACCACTTTCCAGACTCCCAGTCCCGTCTACGAGCTGTCTGTCCAGTAAGCACAAATCCGTCACAACCAAAATTAGAAAGGTATTGAGTCACTGTTTAACCATCACACTCAGAAGAAACTAAGGACGTTGCCATGGCAACTGTGAGCCATTGTCACCTCTGTCCCCTAGCTTCTGTTGGCCATATTATACTTGAAGTATATTATAAGTACAGTTTTTTTTGCTTTTAAACTGGTTTAAAGCACAATGATGGTTATCACCTTAAAAGAGGAAACAAAGCTGGAAGAGGGAATAGACTTTTGGGTACAGTATAAGGGAGAAGAAACATTTGTTATAGGAGAGTGAGAATTGATAGTAAAGCATCATAGTTTTTGTTTTAGGACCCCCATTAGCTGATGCTTGAGTGACTGGTGTTCTCCCTGTGCAGGATAGGTAACAGTGAAATGCTCAGTTTTGGTGCTGGTTCTGTACTGGTTACTATGGTTACCCTGGTGTGGCAGTCACATTTCCCTCAGTGTGAATGAAAAGAGTTGAGAGATGGATGATAAACCACTGTGTTTACTTCTGGCGTGGTGAATCATGAATGCAATGATAGCATATGTCTAAATACATCTCAAACATACAGTAGGTTATATATAAATACAGCGAGGAACAGAAGTATTTGAACACCCTGCGATTTTGCAAGTCCTCCCACTTAGAAATCATGGAGGGGTCTGAAATTCACATTGTAGGTGCATTCCCACCCTGAGAGACAGAATTAAAAAAAAAAAATGTGTTTGCAATTACAGAGGTCAAACGTTTCCTGTAGTTCTTGACCAGGCTTGCACACACTGCAACAGGGATTTTGGCCCACTCCTCCACACAGA